AGCCCGCCATAGGAGAGTGACCTAACAACTCACAACCCTCTCGTAAAGGTGGCCTCTGTCTACACAGACGGGCATACCACATGTGTCTCCAATGAGGTGATTAGTTCACTCAGCACGCCACCACAGGAGGACCCACATACAGGGGTAACAAGTAACAACCCTCCATACACAGCAGACGAGCAGGGCCGTGTACAACAACCCGCACTACGCAATGTATAAACGATATGTAATCAAATGGAAACACAATCAGTATTACACACTGTAAGCAAGTAGAAATGTCGAATATTGTACGAACGCTGTTAAGTGATATGCTCAACTGTAATATCAAAGACAACGGAATCTGAATGCACCCCCTGATATCCCCCCCCTTTTTCCTTTCTGTTCCCCTCTGAACCTCTGTTTTCCGACAAAATAAAAACTGTCAAATTGAAAAAAAAAAAGTGACCAAAACATCAGCCAGGAAGCATAGGAACTGAGAAGTGGTCTGTGGTCACCATCTGCAGAACAACTCCTTTATTGGGGGTGTCTTGCTAATTGCCTATAATTTTCACCTGTTGTCTATCCCATTTGCACAGCAGCATGTGAAATTGATTGTCACTCAGTGTTGCTTCCTAAGTGGACAGTTTAATTTCACAGAAGTGTGATTGACTTGGAGTTACATTGTGTTGTTTAAGTGTTCCCTTTATTTTTTTGAGCAGTGTATAAGATAAGGCCAGGGACTAATGAAAGTATTTATAAAATTGGGAAGACTAGATGGATTTTATGTTTGTAGAAAGCACATGGGGTATACTAAGACATATAATTTTAAAAAGGCCAGTTTCAATAAAAGAAGGACAGCTTTACAACATATTGACTGACACAAAACCTTGTGAAAAATATACTCAGGATGCAAAGAATATCTTCAAACAAATATTAGAAAGGTACATTTCTCAGTTTGTACCATTTTTTAATACATATAAAAGAAATAAACTGAAACCAATGTGGCTTAGTGGGAAAGTAAAAATAAGAAAAGAACATTTAAAGCACTTAAATCACACATCAGAGGCATCCTATATAAGGAAGCCAATAATGCATGCAAAAAGGCAATTAGTGTGGCTAAACTAGAAAAGGAGAGAGAGATAGCGAAAGAAAGCAAAACCAAGTCCAAAATAGTTTTTAAAGTACTTAAATTCTAAAAAAAAAACTAAAACTGAAAGGGCAGTAGACTGAAAACAGAGATGGGCATGTTAGTTGATGAAGATAATTGAAAATATAGATACAGGTTGTGCCAAATAGAAAGTCTAATAAAACATCATATCCTTGCATTTTTCTTTACTGGTAATCATCCAGACTTCAGGTGGTTAAAGGTATAGGTAATAAAACAGAAAGATAACCGGTGATGGTGCAGAGTATCTAGTGACACAGAACAATAAAAATTTAAAATATATGGTATAGCACTCACATTTGGTAGAGCTACAAAATCAGCTGTGAGTAAAACAGCATACAGCGGTATTATCCCCACTGATGAATACGTAGCTCTAGGAGTCAATCACGCGGCATACATGTGAATATTTAAAAAAATTGAAAAAGTATACAATAGTGGTCTGTGTAAAGTATGCAAGAATAAGTAAAAAGGTAGGTATAATCTACTCACATTTAGTGGAACAATAGAAACTGCTCAGATGTTATCACTTGGGTGGTACAATCCCCACCACGGATATAATGTTGAGATGGTCCTGCAAAGGGTCCTTCCAGGAGAATAGGTAGCAGGTAGGTACTTTGACCATATATATAAGTGCCAGAAACAATAGAAATTTAAAAGAACTAAAACCAACTTGAAAGCATAAAAGAAGTGTAATAAATAGTCAGACACATAAATTAAGTGAACGCCAAATATACTTTAATGCTTAAAATTACTTATTTAAAACAATACAAGGCATCTCGCCAACTGGGGGCTTTTTCACTGACATTTGAAAATGTAACTGTTTAATAAATAATACAGATTGGAAATTCTACTTTTTAGCCAAGCAAAAGTAGGCTTGTAACTCAACACTACTTAACATATACAAATATATGTTCATGGTAGATAAAATAAACCAGTTTGTTCATCCAAATAACATGTCTAAATGGTATTGCTTTTATTTATTTATTTATTTATTTTATTTTTTTTATAAATCTTTTTGTTGTGCATATGAGTTCAAATCGCCTTAGTGTCGCCACAACAGCGTACACCTTTACTTCTCAGTTAAAACAGTGGCAGGAAAATACATTGCACAATTTTTACAGTTAATAACAAGCATAAACTTTTAGCATATCACAAGTTGAGGGGTCGGGTGGCTAGGTGTAGTGGGTATGCATGCGTCTTGTATGTTATTTCAAATTGCAGGTGCCCTTCAGGCTAAAACTTATGAATATGTCGCTATGTCCTGTAGTTGGATGGTCTTATGAGTTGGTCCTGCGTGCGTTCTAACGTGGGTGACTGGGTGTGTAGGCTCATTTTGCTTATTGTAAACAGGCCTGAGATTCCTGATGTGTTTCATATATATAGCGTTGGGTGAGACTCTGTCGTGATATTGGTTGTTTAGGTTGTGTGCCTGACGGTAACTAGAGGTGTATGTGGGTTATCCGTCAATGCTGAGCAGGTTGGTTTAAACCCTTCAGGGTGTTGGATATGAGTGTGTTAGCTAGCTATTTAGGAACATCAAGGTGTGCACATATATACGTTTGTGGCAATGCAAGTTAGGTAGGTTAAACGAAAAAAAAAAAACATAGAAAAAATATATGAAAAAAGTAAAGTCACCACGTTTGGGCTGTAGTCCAAAGGGTAGTGGTTTATGCGGGGAAAAAGACATCCCTGTGGGAGTGCTGTGGGTGAGAGTCCCGGTTCAAGTCGTGGCTGTTGCATAGGGTTCTGCTGGCGGTTTTCTTGGCACTAATTCTGGGGCTTTCGCTGCATCTCTGCCGAGGGAGCGCTTGGGCCCGGTTGCTGTCTCTGACAGCGTGAGTGAGTCCATGGGAAAGTTGAGCTTGCCCAAGGCCTTTGTGGCCTCTTGTAGGTCGTGAACATGTCGTTGCAACATGTAAGGTGCAGCCTGATCCCCATTGGTATTTGATGTGGTGGAGCCGCAGTAGGGTGGTGAAGTGGCGTAGGGACCTGCGCCATGCAAGTGTCCCACTCGAGAGGTCCGCATAGAAAGACAGTGCAATTTCTTCGAAAGGGTAAGTTTGTAGGCACTTGGTGGCTTCTAGGACCGCAGCTTTATCTTTTAAAGTTTGAAACGGATAACCACGTCTCCAGAGGCATTAGGTGGTGAATTAGGTGGTCGCGGTATCCGGAAGATGGCGTCTATCAGTATCGTTCTGGCCGCCTTCGAATTCAGCAGCGCAGTGAGTAAATGCCTAGTGAAGTGTGAGAGCTCTGCTTCTGGTACTGTGTCCGCAACACATCTAATTTTCAGGTGAGATTGTCGGCGTTTGTCTTCCAGTGTTGCCAGTTGTTGTTTGTGTTGTAGGTTTTGTTTTTTGCAGGCTGTGTACCGCTGCCTGGAGCTCTGCGATCTGACTGGCATGTTTGTTGGAGGTCTCCTCCACTGCCCCCAGCCGAGCCACTATGTGTTTAAGATTCCCTCTGATCAGGGCCACGTCTGCAGCAATCCTTCCGTGGTATTCTGCCATGAGATCTCCCAAGGCCTCCATGGTCACCGGGGTGGGAGTTGTATCTGTAGGCCGGGTCTGCGGCCACGTTGGTAGTTGCAGTGCTGGAGCCGATGCCGGGTCCCCTTCTGCATCGTCGGAGGTCTCATCCGAAAAAAGTCTGTACAGCCTCCGTGCATGGATGCCATCTTGGCGTCAGCGGCATCATGGGCCTGCTGCCAGAGCTCCCCGATGTTCATGCCCAGCTGGGGTTTGTCTGCTTTCTGTTTTTTTGGGGGTTTTTTTCGACCCATGGTGCCCTCTGAAGTGTCTAGATTGCCTTGGGGTGAATTTGGCTCCTGTAAGTGCGCAGGCATTGGTCTTTTAGGTGAGTAAATGTTGGGAGCTCTGCGGCCATGCGTCCTCCTGCTTCAGTAGCGTAACTCCGCCCCCCCACTGCTTTTATTTTTTTTAAAGGGTTTCCTCACCAGGATAGCATAATGTCTTTGCCATTTTATACTGAACGTTTCCTCTATGTTAGTCTCAAACACCCCTACTATTTTGTCATTCTTTATTTTTATTGTGGCACGGTTAGAACAAGCAATACAACGATAAAGTCTAGAGATTTTAAGCACAGGCAGTAATATGACAGGTACAGTTGAAACAATTATGCTGTTGTGTAATGCTTAGACCCAGTCGTTATAAGAATTGACAAGCCACTTTTGTAATAAAATAACACCTCTACTATCACCAACTCTTTCTATAGAACTTTTTTGCCTTCACAAAATGCCACCCTCTTGCGTTTTGTTAGATCATTTTAGGTATGGGTTATATATTCACTAAATATAAACTGCAAAATGTAGGCTAAATCGCTTGTTGGGAATACATGTCCAACTCTGTTATAGTCACAGCTTTTTGGAATTCAGGTTTGTTAGTTCACTACAGTACAATTCAATGTTTAGTGAAGTAACGCTATGGATGTCACTCTTTATTTTACTCATATCTTTGATTAAGCTCGTTTTCTGTCCCCTGATGCAGAGTAATAATGGTTGATAGATCTAATAAATTAGATTTATACTTCTTATTAGTAATTTGTACTAAAGAAAAGGAAACTTAGTCATCCTTACAGTTAGATTACTGCTACATAAAAGTCTAAATCGCAATTAAAGCCACTGAAAAGCTTCACATAAATCATGTTAAATGCAAAAAGAATCTCTGTCAATAATTTTTTTTTTAAATGCAATACCTACTATACTTTACTACTGCCACTAGGTGGAACTGAGGTACAGTATTTTGTTACTGCATGCAAAACCATCTGGAAGATTCTAGAATGTTATTTTAATGAACTGTACTTTAACTTTCTATTAATAATCACGTTTGACAGAAGAGGGTGTTGGATCAGTTTATCCTAATCTGATTATTAATAGACTTTCAAGGTACAGTATGTCATTGGCTTCTTAAGTGTTCAGTAGATCTATTTATGGTTGATTCTATAACGTTTTACATAGTTGTTAAACAATTTTGCTAATGGCACTGCAGCAAAAATCTAATTTTCTTTTGGCACCATTGTGGTATCATAGTATTAATGGGCTTATGGGGAGGAACATTGATAAGAACCAGTTACATGTGTTTTAAAGAACTTTTCAATTAAAGTGACAACCCAAGCACCATAACCAGTCTCTAAGCATTTTAAGCACCATGACTATTACAATTTATAATTGGTTTTATGGTGGAAGGGAAGGAGGCAGTGGTACCATCCTTCCAGACGTCAGTTTAGGGGAGAAAAGCTATTTAGCAATGTGAAAATTGCCAGGCAACCAAATCCCAGCTTTCTGCCTGTGATTTGATAATAAGGAAGTTTCCCTTTCTTGTCATCCATCTAATACAGAGGTGCCTAAAAGGTAGATCCCCAGATGTTGTAGGACTACAACTCTGAAGATGCTTTGCATGCCTTTAGAACGACAAAGCATCACTGAAGCTGTAGTTTGGAAACATTTGTGGATCTACCTTTTGGGCACCCCGTTCTAAAATATGGGTTAAACAGCATTCTGCCACACTTTATCATTGCTATTCCTTGTGACTAAAAGCAGCCCCTTTGTCACTCTGTGAGCCTTTTTTTTTTTTTCTCTCATTTATCATTTTTATTGAATGACATTTGCAACACATAACATGGTAAATAATTACAGTCCGCCTTCACAGCAACATTTGCGGATAACATTCTACATTTCGCCCTGTATCCAGCCGTACTTCTCACTCAATTGGTCAATCAACCAATTAAATATACAAATAATCTGTGTGTCAGGCGATGTTCGATGTGATGCATACAGCTTCAAAGCATGTGGTGCATTTTTTTTATATATAACTTGGGAGGGGATGGGATACAGAAGGAAAAGAGGGGGGAGGGGGGGGAAATCCCTGGTCACAGCTTCACACCACAGCCAGCAGTACATTAATAATCACCTTCCTTATGTAACTTGTGAGATTGATGAGGCTATATGTTCGCCTGAGCACCTCAACGCCCTAACCCCTTTGGTCCCCTAACGTTTGCGCCTGTGTGCTTCCTTACTGGCCCGCTATGGGGGTTAACCATTTGGTTCGAGCAGTCGGTTTGTCTTAGTTGTCATTCAGTGACTATGTAGCCGCCCAACATACCCATTCTTTATCATACTTTCCTAGGCATCCTTTCAGCTTGCTGGCCATTTTCTCGTATATGCTAATCAAATTCATTTTGTTGATAATCACCTCTACCTGAGGAACTTGTTTGCTTTTCCAGTTACCAGCTAAGGCTACTTTTGCTACCGTCAATATATTCAGAATCACTTTTTTGTGAGGGTGTGTGTCTAGGTCTGGTATAACATGTAATAAGTACTTTTCCGGTCGCAATGGGATGGAGGTGCCAGTCTTACTTGAGATCAGGGTTTGGATTTGTTTCCAGAATCCGTCTAGCAACGGGCATTTCCAGAACACATGTAACATGGTTCCAGTGTCAAGTACAAGTTCGTAGCGCCTGAGTACATACTCGCTAGTCTCTGTGGTACCAGATACCACCTCATAGTTATCTTGCAGTAGGCCTCCCATAGCGAGAGGCTACTCGATGCCTGTTTTGTATTTGCCCTTGCAGACTGCCAGTCTGCTTGGGAGATATGAAATCCCAGGTCCTGCTCCCATTTTGCCATGTATTTCAGTTTATCTGGGGTGTTATCTGCGACCAACGCATTGTAACATAGGGAGAGTGGTTTTGCTGCTTTTGTCAGAGATAAGTGGCTAGGTTGGAGTACCGGAAAGTCAGTTCGAGCGGCTGTTTGTTTACCATGGGTTAATATTATGTTTTTGATTCTTAAATAAAGATACAGATCTCTCAAGTCTAACCCCAGTTCCTCTTTCAATTCAGGGAATGGTTTCATTAAATCCTTCACTAATCTCGCTCCCTTGTTGAGCCATTTGCCCACCTGTATGCCTGGGGAGTAGGCTGCTAGTGTTGTGATGGGTGCCTCCCTAAATAATCGTACCGGGTCCAGCACCTTCGGACACCAGGTCTTCCATGCTTTAAGCATAGTGATCGAGCATCTCAGGATCGTGCCCGCAGATGTTCGGGGCGAGGAGCATGTCCATAAGTAATGGACTGTGTCATGTGCCTCTAGGCATTCATTTTCTAATGACAGCCAGAGCGGTTTACGGGGGAGGTTATGGTTCCTAATGAGTCGCAGTCCCTGTGCCAAGAAAGAGGCCCTGTAGTATGCAGTAACGTCCGGCATCCCCAGTCCTCCTTGGACATAAGGAAGTCCCAGACACCCTTTATTCATTCTCGGGGGTTTCCTCTTCCAGATGTGTGCATTGACCGTGCTTTGGAATTGTTTGAGCAGCGCAGTCGGGAGGAATATGGGCAGGGTTCTGAATAGGTATAGGATGTGTGGTAGTGTCATCATTTTAATTAGGTTGATACGTCCGAGCCAGGAGGTATCCATGCTAGCCCACTGTTCGAGGGAGGATTTGATTTTCTTTAGCACAGGGTAGTGATTTTCTTTGGTCACCGTTTGAAGGGATTTGGTGAGGTTTACACCTAAGTATTTTAAGGAATTGGTGCGCCAATCAAAGGGATGCTGCGGTTTTATCCTTTCTAATGTAGGTTTTGGTAGGTTTATGGGTAGAGCTTGCGTTTTGGTTATGTTGTTTTTATAGTACGATATCTCCCCATAGTCTACCAGCGTTCTCATTAGAGTGGGAACGGAGGACTCCGGTTTTGTAACAAACAGCAGTATGTCATCGGCAAACAGAGCTAATTTCTTTTCGCCCCCCTGGGTGTGCAGCCCATGTATATTGGGATCATTTTTTACTATCCTTATTAGCGGTTCCAAGCATAGGATAAATATTAGGGGGGAGAGGGGACAGCCTTGCCTAATGCCATTACATATGGCGAGCCTGTTAGATACGAAGCCCGTGCTAAAAACTTTTGCTGAAGGGTTTTGATACAGTGCCATTATGCTTGATCTAAAGTTTAGTGGGAATCCCATTTTGGTGAGGGTGAGCAACATATACCTCCAGTGTAGGCGATCAAACGCCTTCTCAGCGTCAAGCGCTAGCAAGAGTCCCGCTTGATGCGAGGCGTTCGCCCATTCAATCATGTTCAGGAAATGTCTAGTGTTGTCCCCTACTTGACGCCCCTGGACAAAGCCCGCTTGCTCCTCCGAGACGAGGTCTGCTAGGATTGGTTTAATTCTAGAAGCGAGGAGTTTGGCATACAGTTTGGTGTCTGCGTTCAGGAGGGAGATCGGGCGTAGGTTTGCACAGTGTGTGGGGGGTTTGTTGGGTTTGGTTAACGTCCCTATATGTGCCTCCAGCATTTCCGTGGGCATAGTCCTTGCAGTTTTTATGTGATTAAATAGGTTGGTGAGAGGCGTGAGTAGTTGTTTGGTCAGTTTTATGTAATAGTAGTTGGATATCCCGTCTGGACTCTGTGAGCCTTTAACAATTTGTTGGTGTTGAAAAGATTAACAGCAATTTGTTATTGAGGAAACCCAAATACACTGTACATATATTGTGAACAATTCATGAAGAAGTGAAGCTTCCTCACTATAGTGTTCCACCTTCAGTTTCTGTCATACTGGTAATCATGGGCATCCGCAGGATTTTTCAGCTTGTGCCGGTATTTTTCTTTTGAGATTGAGAATACACTGCAATACCGGCTGTGTGTGGAGAGAGGCAGGGATAGGAAGCTACATCTTATCCCTGCTTCTCTTTCCTGATTGAATCAGCGGGGGAGTAGCACCGAGTGCAGCAAGTAACTCCCTGACTGCAGAGACAGCCTACAGTTCAGGTAAGTGAGGGATGAGGGAGATAGCATACAGGAAGGGTCAGCAAAGGGCAGCAATGAGCTGGAAGGGGCAGAAGGAGCACAAAGGAAAAGTAGGAGAAGGAGCAGAAAGGAGAAGGAACAGAAATGAGCAGGAAGGGACAGCAAGAAGCAGAAAGGGGCAACAAAGAGCTGGAAGGAGCACAAAGGTGAAGGAGCAGAAAGGGTCTGCAAGGAACAGAAAGGGGTCAGAAAGAGAAAGGAGCAGAAGGGCGCAAAAGCAGCAGAAAGGTAAAGGAGCAGAAGAAGCCAAGGAGGAGAGAAGACAGTGTCAGAAGAAAAAGAAGACTGTGTCAAATGAAGGAGAAAAAAAGGAGATTGGAGCAGGAAGGACAAGTGAAGTGAACCCTCCACTTCATTCTGGACACCACATCATAAGGCTTCGGTACCTGGGCCTGGCAGGGAAACTTTGGACTCATCTCCCCAGGTAAAAATAAATATCAGTGTTAATGTGTTCACTTTTATTTACTGAGTGTCAGGAAGCACAGAGTGCCGCTGGGTAGGGGTGCTGCTGATTGGCTAGAGCGGTCAGCTGGCACTCTAAGCCAATCAGTAGCTCCCCATTCATAAAAAAGTAAAACATTTTTATGAACCGGGAACTAGCGATTGGCTTAGAGCGTTAACTGACCACTCTAGCCAATCTATAGCACCCATGCCTGACGTCAATCTGCACTTCCTGACACTCCGTTTCAAAAACCGAATACCACTGAGCGACCTGGAGATCTGCAGCTGGAGGAAACCTTTGGGGTTAAACCATTTGAGAGCAGTTTAACCCTTTAACGGAAAGAGGCCTCCTGACATCATAGCATTTTCATTTAGATGAAGTTATGATGACCAGAATGTTCCTTTAATTTGATTAAAGTGAAAATGCTATTCACCCTGGCTTTATGTGATAATGAGTATGCCCCTTCCCTTCATGACACTGTCAAAAAGGGACGTGGACGTGGATGTCATTACAATTATGCTCCCCCGCCCCCTGGATGCCCATGCTTAAACATTACTCTGAGTGTTTCATACTTCTTAAAATTGGGAGATATGAGATGGAGAGGCCATGTGTGTCACGGGTTTTACTACTCCTGTCCACAAAATGAGGTCAAGGTTACCTGGGTTGATGCTGCCATTCACCAAAGACAGTAACAATATATACAACAGCACCTTTTGATAGCTGTTTATGTGGGTTCCATTTCAAATGCCTAGGAAGTAGAGAATATGCATGATGCAAGATGAGGGCTTAGTGTTGTTTGGATGACAGTGAGGAATCAGGGTGCGGGGAGGGAAAGATGTTCACAGTTTAATTGATGTATTTTCCTGAAGTAGTGAGTTTTCAGAGATTTTTAAAGGAGTGGAGACTGGGTGAAACTCTAACAGAGAGGGGAAGGGCGTCCCATGGAAATAGTGCAGCCCTAGAGAAGTCTTGAAGGTGAGCATCAGAAGTAGGAGTATGAACAGAGGTTAGACATAGGTCTCGGGCAGAGCATAGGGGCCTAGACAGGACATATTTGTGTATTAGTGAAGATAAGTGTAACAGAGCTCCCTGTACTCCGACCGAGTACCCTCCGTTGACGGATGCTCCTAGCGCTTCCTGAGGACTCCAAGCGCTGCAGCAGACACCACAACCACCGCAGACTCCACAACCGCCGTATCTTGACTGGAGTCTCGCCGTCTTCCTTCCACCCTGGATCAGCTTCTGTCCAGGACTGTGTGGGAAAGAACTCTTCCTTCCACCCTGTATGAACCTCCAGCATCCAGGACTGTGTGGTGAAGACCCCTCCTCCAAGGAGAGCGTGTCAGGAACAAGCTCTTAAAAGAACTAAGTGACTCAAGCTCAGGGGAGCATGCAGAGCATAGCAATCCCCAGTGTGATTAGAACAGCTCCCTCCAATAACGAGACAAGGCTACATTTAGAGGGATCAAGAAGAACTGTCAAAACCTTTATTCCCTTGGGACCAGCCAATACAGTCACCACAATAACATTGTTGTGAAACCTCAATAAAATCACAAACAATCAAACCATATCAAGAAACACACAGTGACTTATCACAACACAATGGCACATTTTTAAAGGGGTGGGGGAAGACAATATTTAACAGTAAATATCTCCCATGCCTGCAGAATTAGCAATATGCAAATCTACCCGAATATGCAAATGAACCAGTCTTGCAATTCAGGTAGTGCATATTGCTGTTGCTACCAACAGAGGGCACTAGACAAGCTCCATAGCCAAACCCACCTAGTTGGTAGCAAACCTCAGCAGTACAGGAGAGCAGGCAATACATTTCACAGTACACACACACACACACACTATAAACAATTACATTACACACACCCTGTACCTATAATGGGTACAGGGTGACTAAAACATATGATAAATAATGCAGCCTACATAAATAGTCTATAAGTATATCCCAAACAATATACAATTGATAAATAATATAAAAAGCAATAGTACTTAGCTTATAAAGATGTATGACAGCCTCCCTAGGTCGTTACCCAAACAAGCGACCTATATCATATATAGTATAAACCAAAACAGAGAAGATTCGGGATATGGCTGTGTAAATCTACAGAGAAAGCATAAAACAAAACATAGTGTGATATTGTTATAAAACACAATATTTCATGCGCAGTAATCTTGTGCACTCACAGGATGTAGGCAGTAAAAGCGCTCTTAAGGTGCCTTCCCCAATGGAATGGGGGGCTAGCTGGTGTTCCTTATCACCTCTGGATCCTTGTATCACCAAAAGACATCCACAGGTCAGGGTTCAGTAATAAAAAATTTATTTAGATAAAAAGTGTAGTCACCAATTCAGCATAGGATACAAATAACAAAAGGATGTCCTACGCGTTTCGTTCTATAAGAACTTCCTCAGGGACCACAATTAAAAACAATAATAACAATGTATCAATGTACAATACATAAACATATCCTATACACATCCCCCCTCCCTGTGTCCTTAAATAGGGCTAATCCCTAAAGTCTATTGGTGAATCCAGTAGGCGTGTAAATCCTCCTTGGTTCTAATTGGAGGACTGATCTTCCTGTGGCAGCTGTTTGTCATCCATTCATTTTCCATAATTTGTAATTTGCGCCTTTTTCGGCAAATACCGGAAGTGGTCATAATTTGCCGAAACCGGAAGTGACGTCGCGGGAACGTCCGCGTTCCACATGCGTTCCACCAGTAACGTCTCCATGGCAACCGGGCGCGATCAAGTCATTCAAAAGGTCAAATGGAACACAGGACAAATAAAAAGCCCCATTCTGCTTGAGAAAAAAAACTGTTAACCATTTTTAACATATTTAGCCGTTATTTATGTATATATATCTGTTGAGTATCACCCTCCTCATTAATCCCATCACACAACATAATGTTAATCCTCATATTGTACCAAGTAATCATAATACCTCAGTATATTATAAGCCTAAGGCTTCGTATTACAAAGTGATCATATTTCCTATGTCTATTATTTAAAAGGTTTTTTTTTATTTTTTTTTTTTTTTTTTATAACTTTATACATTGTTAATCAAGGTGAACACCGTAATCAATTCATCACTGTATCAGTTTAAACTTCAATTTGTCGTGTTATATATTTGTACTCCCCATAAAAATCTTTGGGATAAACCTATTAGACACATTGAAATAATCCATTGCTATGGTTACACAAAAAAGGGGTTAGTAGATTGTGGCTACAAAATGACTACTTCCCATATAAACTTTATTTAGTGAATCTACCACATTCAATTTATACCAGCTCTAAAAATCCTTAGAGCAAATCCATTATTTATATTAGAATAATCGGTTATTGTGTTTTTATTATAGTCTTTTGTGATTTTTGGTCATATAGGACAATAGATCACAAATTGTAAAAAAAGATAAAATAAAATATAAGGGATATGAAATAACTACTTGGTATTTGATATATATATAAATCCTCTCTCTAAGTAGGGATTAGCTTTCAACTGTAGAAACAACCCAAATTAAAGGCAAACACACATATCCTAACTCTTTGTTCTGAAGATTTTAGGCCATATTAATCTAGAAAACAAATTAAATCAATATCGATATTAAGACCCTTAGGTGAGAGGGTTTGTAATTTATGTATCCAGAACGTCTCCCTCTGGGCTAGTCTTTGAACTCTATTACCCCCACGCCAGAAGGGGTGGACTCGTTCAATTCCCCAACATCTAAAATCCTTAAATGAAAAAAGGGGACATGATATACAATGGGTTGGGACTGAGTGTGTCGTCAGTCTCTTTCTGATATTACATTGTTATTATTGTTTTTAATTGTGGTCCCTGAGGAAGTTCTTATAGAACGAAACGCGTAGGACAACCTTCTGTTATTTGTATCCTATGCTGAATTGGTGACTACACTTTTTATCTAAATAAATTTTTTATTACTGAACCCTGACCTGTGGATGTCTTTTGGTGATACAAGGATCCAGAGGTGATAAGGAACACCAGCTAGCCCCCCATTCCATTGGGGAAGGCACCTTAAGAGCGCTTTTACTGCCTACATCCTGTGAGTGCACAAGATTACTGCGCATGAAATATTGTGTTTTATAACAATATCACACTATGTTTTGTTTTATGCTTTCTCTGTAGATTTACACAGCCATATCCCGAATCTTCTCTGTTTTGGTTTATACTACATAAATAGTCTGTCTGAAGGTAGACTAGGGGCTTTAAAACCAAATACAGGAAAGAGTCATAGTCACAGGGGAGGAGGCTGGCAAGCAGGCCTCTCCAGGACCAAGTGGCGAAGGGCACTTCGTCACAATAAGTAGGTAGGAGCAGCATTGTGTAGAGATTTGAAAGCAAGTATCAGGATCTTAAATTGAGTCCGATATCTTATGGCAGGGGTGGGGAACCTTTGACCTTCCAGATGTTCTGCACTACATTTCCCATAATGCACTTACAGTGATAATGCTGACAAAGCATCAAGGGAGATGTAGTTCACAACATCTGGAGGGCCGAAGGTTCCCCACCCCTGTCTTACGGGAAGCCAATGTAGGGACTGACAGAGGGGTGTGGCGTGGGAGGTGTGGGCGGACAGGAAGATGAGCCTTGCGGCCACATTCATTATAGACTGTAACGTGGCAAGTTGGGAGCACGTAAGATCACTGAGAAACAGATTACATTAGTTGAGGTGAGAGAGGACAACGGCATGGACAAGCACCTTTGCTGTATCAGGCGTTAAATAGGGTTGGATGCGAGCTATGTTTTTAAAATGGAAGCGGCGGGATTTGGCGATTGATTGGGCATAAGTGGTGAAGGAGAGAGCGGAGTCAAAGAGAACACCTAGGCAGCGAGCCTGAGAGGTAGTGCAGATGGTAGCGCTCTTGACTTGGAGGGAAACATACAAGGGAGTAGCAACACTTGACTGTGTTGTTACCTTTTTGGATTAACATTGAAAATAACTCAGGATTGTGTTGTTTGTAAAGCTTTCAGATTTTCAGGGTGTGTTCACTAAAACAGTAATTGTGGGACTTTAAAACCAACTTGTAAAATGGATGCCAGAATATCAATAATTAAATATTCAGTTCAGCCAAGGTGGTAATTGTTTCCCCCCTGGCAGCTGGTATGGCCTAAATTTTGTTGTCAATTCTTTTTTTTTTTTTAATTTAAATTTATTCAGTTTTTAAAACATGATGAGGTCTGTTCGTTTTCGAATAATAACTGCAATTAAACTTTTGTTCATTGAAATTGATTATGTCTGAAGACCTAATCATTAGATAAGCTATTAGACCTGCAATCTGTAATGTTTCAGCCTAGGACTTTAATAGCATTTACATTACTCCAATCATATATTCTCCTGGGTAAGTAAAATTTTGCTGTGTCACTGCTGAGGCCAAGTGAGGCTGCACGCATCATCATTTTATCCATTTGAACAAGCCACTTAGTGATGATTTAGACATTTGGCAGATCTTATTGCAAAAGAATATTGGAAAATATATTTGGCTGAAAAGGTCAGTTTCTAGCAATGATTTAAATCGGATTCTTCCAGTCAGCTTTTCAAGGTCATAACTGTTTGGGATTTTAGCATCGTTTAACTTTGTGTTATTTTTCTGATGTCTTCTGCAAAGTAACCGCTCTGTCTTACTTTATTTTCTCATTTTTACAACAATTTGGGGTGTCATGTCAATCATCAAAAAAGCACACCTGGCACTGGATAGAATAAAAATCAGCCATTGGGACTGTTTTGAAATAGATGACCGTCCGTAGTTTTCACTGAATATATGTGCCTTTTTTCAGTCACCGAAAAGCATGAAAAAGCATGTTAGATGGTATCTCACATACACAGACTCATTTAATCAAAATGAATAACTAAATTAATAATCTATGCTGGAAGTATGTACCACGGTGAAGACAGACCTTACTCCCAGAGAGATGGTGGACCTCACACTAAGTTAAGCAGTGCCACATCTATAGAGTGCTTAGAGTGCTTAAATGCAGAAGTCTAGCTTCCTTGTTAGCAGTAACGCTGATCATACTGCTTGAATACATAGAACAAAGACTCTACTCTTACTGTTGTTAATATGAAAACATTTTACCTTCTATGACAGAGTTCAGGGAATTATGTATAATAGAATGTTTGAATGCTCTTACATAGAAACATAGAATGTGACGGCAGATAAGAACCATTAGGCCCATCTAGTCTGCCCAATTTTCTAAATACTTACATTAGTCCCTGGCCTTATCTTATAGTTATTATAGCCTTATGCTTATCCCAGTCACTCTTAAACTCCTTCATAGTGTTAACATCTACCACTTCAGCTGGGAGGCCATTCCTTGCACTGCATCCACTACCCTCTCAGTAAAGTAATACTGCCTGATATTATTTTTAAATCTGTGCCCCTCTAATTAGACTATGTCCTCTTGTTGTGTGGTATATTTTCTTATTTTACATATACTCTCCTCCTTTACTTTGTTGAATATTTTAAATGTAGAATTGAATTGTGTATTATATGCCAGTAATTCATTACACAGTTGTGTAGATGTGAGATTTGCAAGAGAGGAAGCCTGTTCAGGATTGCCCCACTGTCTAAACTGACCTGCGGTAATTAATTGTTAATCATTGATAAAATGGGTAGTGTAGGGGCTGTTAGGGAGAGTCTGTGAGATATTGAGAAGTAATGTCTGTCCCAATATAGCAAATCTCAGTTTCGGGGTCCAGTCCCTCTGTCCCAGGATGATTCCTAGTGTCCTACTTTCCCCAACCAGCACAGTACTAGTGCATCATTAAACAAGTTTGTGCTTCGCTTGTGGGCACCTGCAGGGCCGTTTGAAGGAATTTGGGGGACCCAAGCAAAATGGTCATGGAGGTTCCCTCACCCCACCAAAGCCTAGTCTGTCCTCCCCCCCCACCCCCACCCCTGCGTGGTGGGTGGGGGCCATGATTCACAATGGGGGGGTGCTACTGTCCTCCCCCACCCCTGAGTGGTGGGTGGGGCCAGGGCATAAAGATAATGAGGGGGGGACCTACTGTCCTCCCCCACCCCTGCGCGGTGGGTGGGGGGCCATAAATCACAATGGGGGGAACCTACTGTCCTCCCCCCCCCCCGGCCTCCACCCCTGAGCGGTGGGTGGGGGCCATAAAAATATTGAGGAGGGTACCTACAGTCTTCCTCCCCGACCCCACCCCTGTGCGGCGGGTGGGGGCCCTAAGACAAATCCCCCCCTTCAAAGGTGACTAGGGGTCCCCAAGCCCTTAGTCATCCACCCAAATAAAAACTATCCCCTACCTACCCCCCTCACCCTAAAAATAATGAGGGGGGAATAAAATAACTAACCTGGAAATAAAAATAAAGCTTACCATTTGATGTCTTCTTTCTTCTAAAATCTTATTTTTTCAGCCCCAAAAAAGGCCAAATAAAAAACCATCATACCCATCGAACTTAAAATAAAATAAAAAATCAGAGCAAAAAAAAAAAACAACGAAAAAGGAAAAAACTTGGCGCAAAAAAAAAAATCCATCTTCACCCATGGAGGGCTCATCGCAGACTGAGGTCTGCCGGGCGGGGGAAGGCTTATAAAGCCTTGCCCCGCCCTGCAATTAGGCCAAGAACACTCTGATTGGTTTGTTTAAGCCAATCAGAGTACTCTTTGTCATTTTACACAGCATAGGAAAGTTCTTTGGAATTTTCCCACGCTGTGTAATTTGACTCATAACACTCTGATTGGTCAGTCAGAATGATCCTTCCCTTCTCTGGTGGGCTGCCAATTTTGAGCAGCACCATTGATGCATGTGGTGTCACCGGCATGCCCCTGTCCCAATTTTAGACTTTTCATACTTCATGTTGGAAGGTAATATCTTAATGGTGACATGTCTAAAGGTTCTGTCTATGTAAATTATGTTGTCTGTGTCTAGAGTTGGCAGTTGGTAAGTGGGCCAGCCACCCAACTTCATTTAGCTCTCCTTTATATTGCTCAGTAAGCACTGTAGAGCAAGGTTTTATTTTTCTACATTTATGTTAATTACTGCCAATTATTAGCAAAATAAGCAAGCCAAGGCTCATAAATAGAGTTGAGCGAACCTGAACTGTAAAGTTCGGGTTCGTACCGAACATTTCGGTTTTTGGAGCCCGGATTCGAACACGGACATTTCAGTGTATGTTCGGGTTGGAGTTCGGTGTTTGGCGATTTAATGGTGCGTTTTGAAAGGCTGCAGGGCAGCCAATCAACAAGCGTTTGACTCGTGTGCCGTTAGAAGCCATCAGATCCATGTCTACCAATGGCATGGCTGTGATTGGCCAGTGCAGCCAATCACCACAGTCCAGTTTCTATATATAGCACCGCATGTCACATGAGCTCTTATTAGTGTAGGGAGAGGATGCTGCATCAGATTAGGAAAGAGTACATAGTACATTTTGGGACCGTCAAATACTGCTGTGACATTGCAGTTTGACTAATTCACATTTCTTTGGTGCTAAATAGTACATTTGGTGTGTGCACTTCATATCTGAGAGTCAAACAGAACCGTCTAATACTGTGGTTACAGCGCAGTTTTAAAAATTCGAATTTTTTAGGTGCTAAATAGTACATTTGGGGTCTACACTTCATATCTAAGAGTCAAATAGAACCGTCAGATACTGCTGTGACATTGCAGTTTGACTAATTCAAATTTCTTTGGTGCTAAATAGTACATTTGGTGTGTGCACTTCATATCTGAGTGTCAAATAGAACCGTCAAATACTGTGGTTACAGCGCAGTTTTACAAATTCTAATTTTTTAGGTGCTAAATAGTACATTTGTGGCCTGCACTTCATATCTGAGAGACAAATAGAACCGTCAAATACTGCTGTGACATTGCAGTTTTAAAAATTAAATTTTTTTAGGTGCTAAATAGTACATTTGGTGTGTGCACTTCATATCTGAGAGTCAAATAGAACTGTCAAATACTGTGGTTACAGCGCAGTTTTACAAATTCAAATTTTTTAGGTGCTAAATAGTACATTTGTGGCCTGCACTTTATATCTGAGAGACAAATAGAACCGTCAAATACTGCTGTGACATTGCAGTTTGACTAATTCACATTTCTTTGGTGCTAAAAAGTACATTTGGGGCCTGCACTTCATATCTGAGAGTCAAATAGAACCGTCAAATACTGTTGTTACAGCGTAGTTTTAAAAATTCTAATTTTTTTTGGTGCTAAATAGTACATTTGGGGTGTGCACTTCATATATGGTATATGTGTGCAACACTGGCTAGTTACCGCTTCTCAAGAAAGTCTAAAGACAAATAAATGTTGCCTATGGTGCAGGTAGTATAGAAGGCAAGACTGAGACAAATCAGTCGGGTTACGTTTGCCTGTTGACATGTTAATTATCTTAGACCATTAAAATTCAATAATCAATTAAAAAACACTAAGTGTCATACAAAAATATGTATTATAGACAAGTTAAAAACAAGACTACAAGTCATGCTATAACAAAATTAAAGAAGTTTTAAAATACGTATTGGCCAACCAGTGGCTGTAAAAACAAAGTTTTACTGGTTACATTCATGACTACACACTCTAGTGAACAGGACCTTCATGTAGTGTGTTTTAAAAAAAAAAAAAAAATCATACAGCATCCTTTCATGTGCAGACTGGCAAGGAGAGCAGGGTTGAGGAGTGGGTGGAAGATGATGTGGAGGATGATGAGGTCCTAGACCCCACATGGAATAAAGGTCATGCGAGGAAGAGGCGGTGGTCGTACAGAGGCACCAGCACAGCATAAGAGGGAGCAGGGTGCAAAAGTGGAGCGGTCGTCCCCTAGCGCTCGTCGGCATGTATTAGCTCTAGAATTACCACAGTTATCCAAGTAACAGATGGAGCGATCAAAGGAATCATAACCGATTTAATGAGCCATTCGCAGTTTCACTGTAGCGGCTGTGCGCGCTTTCGGCGTTCTCACCCTGCTGCTGCTCGCCTGTCTGCGCTGCAGCGTAACTTCGGCCTTCCCGTTTACCACCTCATATGCGAAGTGCCCACAAGTTGGAACTCCACCTTGCACATGCTGGAGAGTAGACATGTGCATTGGGAAAATTTACGGTTCGATTCGGCAATTCGGAACTTCTGAAATTCGGAACTTCGGCACTTCGGAATTTCGGCATTTCGGCACTTCTATTGCAGCCGCTTAGTAGATAACTCCCTAATTCCCACGGTATTAGGGAGTTATCTACCAAAAGGTTGAAAGACCTAAATTGGTCTTTCAGCCAAATTTACTAATACTAAGTAAAAATGACTTAGTATTAGTAAATTTTGCCCCTACTCGCTATACTGCGGGTGGGGGACCTAAACTGGAATAAGGGGGGGACCTAATGTCCTCCCCCCTGGCCCCCACCCCTGAGTGGTGGGTGGGGGCCCTAAATTGAAATAAGGGGGGACCTAATGTCCTCACCCCTGAGCGGTGGCTGGGGGACCTAAATACTAATAAGGGGGGACCTAATGTCCTCCCCTCTGGCCCTCACACCTGAGCGGCCGGTTGGGGCCCTAAATTGGAATAAGGGGGGAACCTAAAAGCACCTGAGCGGTGGGTGGGGGTCTTAAAGCAAAAGCCCCCACTCGCGTGTCGGGGGTTGGGGCTCGGGAGGGGGGACCCTATTTTTTTTAATTTATTTTTAAAACAGTGAGCAGCCACAGGCTCCACTCTGTTTAATAGACATGCCCCTACTCGCGGTATAGTGAGTAGGGGCATAATTTACTAATATTAAGTAATCTTTACTTAGTATTAGTAAATTTGGCTGAAAGACCTATTTAGGTCTTTCAGCCTTTTAGTAGATAGCTCCCTAATACCGTGGGAATTAGGGAGTTATCTACTTATTCATTCCTGTCATTACACTGACTGGCTAAGTAAATTACATTTTATATAAATTTTTTGTTACTTGATTGTTGTAAGTGTTGAAAATGCTTACAGCTGAATCCTGGCTATGTTTGTATACTTTTTATTTAAAACTGTATACAATGTAACACTGGGTAAGTATATTAGTACTTAGGCAATACTGTGCTTCGGAACTTCGGCACTTTGACACTTCGGCAACTTCGGAACTTCGACACTTCGGAAATTCGGTAATTTCGGAACTTCGGGACCTCGGCAATTCGGCACTTCGACGCTTCGGAATTTCGGCATTTGGGGACTTCGGCACTTCTATTGCAGCCGCTTAGTAGATAACTCCCTAATTCCCACGGTATTGCCCAAAAATCGTCTGAATTCACATTCGGACCGAAACGAATTGCACATGTCTACTGGAGAGACTTGCGAGCAGCAGCAGGCGATAGTGGAGTTTCAGCTGCAGCACGCACGGTTCAGTCGCTCTGCACCAGACTTGCCCTCCAATAGATCCTAGTTACAGGATTCAAAGTGTACTCATTCAAATTACAGGGACTCTAAAGAGTCCTGTATTGTTATTTATCGTCACTACTTCCCCGCGTCGGGAGTGGGTAATTTGCATGCCTGCTGCCTTCCTTGGATGTGGTAGCCGTTTCTCAGGCTCTCTCTCCAGAATCAAACCCCGATTCCCCGTTACCCGTGGTCACCATGGTAGGGGCAGAAAGTACCATAGAAAGTTGATAGGGCAGACATCCGAATGCGTCGGCGCCGTCACGGGGACGTGCGATCGGCCCGTGGTTATCTAGAGTCACCAAAGTGCCTGTGCAACGACTGCAGATTTGCCCACATTCTAACTTGTGCTGATTACTGGGTGGCCACCCTGCTGGATCCCTGTTACAAGGACAACGTGCCGTCCTTAATTCCCTCACTGGATCGTGATCGGAAGATGCGCGACTACAAGCGCACGCTGGTAGACGCGCTGCTGAGGGCATTCATAAAACTGACACCGGGGGCTCAGTGGAAGCACAAGGCGAAGGCAGAGGAATGAGGAAGAGGTTGCCAACGCAGCTGGGGCACCGCCAGCACCTCACAAGGCAGGGTTAGCATGGCTGAAATGTGGAAAAGCTTTGTCAGCACGCCACAACAACCAGCACCACCAGCTGATATGGAACGTCTTAGCAGCATTTCAGCAACATGATGGAACAGTACGTGTGCACACGCCTACATGTACTGACTAATGGGTCTGCCCCATTCAACTTCTGGGTCTCCAAATTGGGCACATGGCCTGAGCTTGCCCTTTATGTCTTGGAGGTGCTGGTCTGCCCTGCAGCCAGTGTATTGTCTGAACGTGTGTTTAGCACAGCACGGGGCGTTATCACAGACCAGTGCAGCCGCCTGTCCACAGCCAACGTGGACAAGCTCACGCTTATTAAAATGAACCAGGCATGGATCTCACCAGACTTGTCTGTACCTTGTGCAGAATAGACATTTATACTGGCCTCACCCAGCCATTGTTATACTCAAGTGCACTTATTCTTTGTTTTCTTTTTTTATATGTCCCAATATTTTGGGGGCTACCACAATTAAAAAAAATAAAAAATAATAATAAAACAAACAGTGTTGGCTACCTCCTACACTGCCACTTCCACCTACACCAACACGGTCACCGCCTCCTCAACCTCTTACTCCACATCCACCTCCTCCTTCTAGAGCAGGGTGCAAAAGCGGAGCATCCGTCCCCTAGACAGTGCGCCTGCTACTGCCCACGGCACCGAGGGACCGAGCACACCAAAGCCAGCTCCAATGAGTTCCCTGGTGTGGCAGTTCTTCAGACGATGTGCTGACGACAAGACACTAGTGGTTTGCACGCTGTACAATCACAGCCTGAAGCGAGGCATAAACGTTCTAAACCTGAGCACAACCTGCATGTCCAGGCATCTACATGCAACGCACGAGCTGCAGTTGAGTAAGCACCTCAAAAACCAAGAAAGGTCTCAGGCTCCTCCTGCTTCCTCTTCTGCTGCTGTCTCGGCCCCTTCCTCCACCCCGCAAACAGAGGATGTGGCAGCAACGCCACCAGGTCCGCCACCGTCCCCAAGCATCTCCACACTGTCCCATAGAAGCGTTCAGCTGTCCATCTCCCAAACACTGGAGAGAAAGAGGAAGTACCCCCCTACCCACCCGCGATCCCTGGCCCTGAATGCCAGCATTTCAAAATTCCTGGCCTTTGAAATGCTGTAATTCCGTCTGGTGGAGACGGACAGTTTTAAAAACTTGATGGCGTTATTGGACTGCAAGAAATGCACCACAGACCGCAAATGTTTCTTTTTTTTTATATGTCCCAATATTTTGGCGGCTACCCTAATTAAAAAACAAATAAAAAACAGTGTTGGCTACCTCCTCCTCCACCGCCGCTTCCACCTACATCGCCAAGGTCACCGCCTCCTCAACCTATGGGTCACTTATAAACTATGTACACAATAGCAGAGGCTTGTGAAGGCCTTTTCTCCATGCATCAGGAGTTGAGCTCAGTTTGAACAATGAAAGAGAATACCCTGCACTCCAACCTAAAAGCTACTATTATTTATAAAACAACCATATACATGTTCAACAACTTGTAAACAAACACCTGATATTTAACACCCAGAAAAAACACCGGTCTTAAATATCCCATATACCACAATTATAAAATGTACCCTCCCCCCCCCCCTATTTATTAATGGCAAATCAAAATTCAATATAAAGACCAGGACAGAACTACAAATAAGATAAATAGTAGATGGAAGGGAGAGAAGATGCTGCACAGCACTTTACTATTTTCCTAACATTTCGCCACTATATCTAGCCTCATTGCCCATGCAAAAGTAGTGCGAGGCAATTCCACTCTGGTTCTCAACCAATAGAGAATGGCTGTGGCAAGGTGAGCCACACTGATCTGTTTGTTAGCCGAGTATGTGACAAGCTTAGGAAGTGACAGAGGTGTGAACTATTAACCCCTCTATTCCTTTCAAACACAGACAGAGAAAGAACTAAGTGTCCCTTGTCAGCTTATAATTATTTTCAGTCCACCATATTAACATTTTATAAGTAATCAGTTACAAGTAAGTTCTATAATGTACTTTTAAAATCTGCTTTTTAAAATTTGACTGAGTGTTTAAAGTGGTTCCATACCTTTGTTTTCCACATACTTTACATGCTTCAATACCGTTTTTATACACAAAGATACTAGACTTTCCAGTAACCTTGATGTGATTGTCTCCTCTTAAATGTCAATTTCTGTTCCCTGTTTTATTTTTAAATTGTAACTTTACCTTAATATATTATTTTAAAATGAATATATATTGTATTATTTAATACTTCATGTACCTGCATGATTCACAATACAATTTAAAAAATCCACCTTTAATGTTGGATGCATGCATTTATAAGTTGAACTGTTCTTACTTTGACATGTTTCCGAGAGAGACATAGACTAGGCCGCAAGCCCTGAAGATCTCACCATATTCTTCTGCACTAATAATATATGTTTATTACTCGGACTGTACAACAGCCAATAAAACTTACAAGGAAAGATTAAAGGATCTTAACATGTATAGCTTGGAGGAAAGACGAGACAGGGGGGATATGATAGAAACATTTAAATATATAAAGGGAATCAACACAGTAAAGGAGGAGACTATATTTAAAAGAAGAAAAACTACCACAACAAGAGGTCTTAAATTAGAGGGACAAAGGTTTAAAAATAATATCAGGAAGTATTACTTTACTGAGAGGGTAGTGGATGCATGGAATAGCCTTCCAGCTGAAGTGGTAGAGGTTAACACAGTGAAGGAGTTTAAGCATGCGTGGGATAGGCATAAAGCTATCCTAACTATAAGATAGAGTCAGGGACTAATTATTATTATTATTATTAGTGGCATTTATAAAGTGCCAACAAATTCCGCAGTGCTGTACAATTGGGAAAAAGACAAACACAAAAATAACAGACCGATACAACCGGTAGAGGACACTGCCCGTCAGCTTACAATCTAAAGTGAAAGTATTTTTAAAAATTGGGCAGACTAGATGGGCCGAATGGTTCTTATCTGCCGTCACATTCTATGTTTCTATGTTTCTAGAGAAATAAATAGAAAAATTGCAGTTGGTTAGTAGAACCATGGAAACTTTTACCATTTGGAGGTTAAGTGCCATGCATATGATGTCACCGTCCTATGATCATTTCCAGTCAGTATTGCTGCAATTGATATGTAAAGATGTGTGTGCTACATTCCGGAGTGTCTGAGATAATTTCTAAAAAAAATAATATGATAATCAAATAAAGCATTTTAATGGATGAATCAGCAGTGTGTGGATTATACTAGGTAAATGTAAAATAAAGCTTGATAATAATTAGTGTATCACTGTGCCTAGCTGCTTTGAACAGAAATATAGTGAGTGATAAAAATAAGTAAATGAGGACTCACAATTTTGAATACTTCTGTATGATCTCTGAGATAGTTTTCATGGCATGCTTAAATGAATGAACACAGTATGAGGTATTCATCAATAGTCTGTCAAAAACTATTAATAAGAGCGCTGCATATCTTTATAATGCATTCTAAATCACTGAGTAATTCACAGAAAGGCCTAGTCTTGCGTCCTCCTTTATTATTGGTCTTGCTAGAATTTACTGATGATGCACACACCACTTACTAAGGAAAAGTCATGGCATTTCAAAAAGCATGAAACAAACTCTCTGTGTGTATAGAAAAGAGGATAGTACTCATAAAAATACAACTCAATTATATATATATATATATATATATATATTTGTGTGTTTGTGTGTGTGTGTGTATGTGTGTATTCCTAATATTCGGGTTCTGTACCAGAGGCCTGGGAGTCTTAGGATTCTGCCCAGTACCTTAGCTCTTTCTAGAACTGCACTCTTCTGGACAGCGATCTCGGGTGTCCCACTTAGAATCTGCTGAAGCCACTCCCCCAACTTGGGGTTCACAGCTCCGAGCGCTCCTATCACAAGTGGGACTACTAATGCATTTACTTTCCACATCCTTTCTATCTCTTCTTTCAGTCTTTGGTATTTGTTCACCTTCTTATGTTCCTTTTTATAGTCACTGGGTATTACCAAATCCACCCTTACTGCAGTCGTATGTGCTTGTCTACCACCACAATGGCAGGCTAGTTGGGTATTATTTGCTTGTCTGTCTGGATCTGAAAGTCCCACAGGATCTTAGCCCTATCATTCTCAACTACCCTTTGTGTTATCTGCCATCTGGACTTAGGCAGGTGTAGCCCATATTCTGTTCAAATAGCACAGATCTGAGAGCAAGTAACAGCTTCCTGTCAGAAGAGATAGCGGAAACAGAAGATCATCTTCAGGGTTCCACTAGGCAACACTATGAAGGTAAAATGGTGGGGAGAAGAGACCACAAAGGGACAGGGATGAATGGACTAAAAGAGACACACAGAGGAGCTAAGGGGGGACAGAGAGACACAGAGGGCTGGGGGGACAAAGACACACACACAAAAGAGGCACTGGGGGCCAAAGAGAAACACATGGAGCTGGAGGACCAAGAGTCACAGAGGTTCTGGGGGGGACAAAGACATAGAGGAGGGTGTGGGCTACAAATCAACACACAGAGAGGGGCTGGGGGGACAACGAGACACACAGATTGGTTGGGGTGACATAGAGACAGTCGGAGGTACTGGGGACAAAGACATACAGAAGGGCTGGGGGACAAAGAGATACACAGAAGAGATGGGGGAATAATGAGACACACAGAGGGGCTAAGGGTGGACAACAGGCACACAGAGGGGCTTTGGAAGGGGACACAAAGGCAGTCGGAGGGGCTGGGGTAGAGACACTAAAGGGGGTTGGGGAGAAAGAGACAAACATAGGGACTGGGGGGAAGAGACACACAGATGGGTTGGGGGGGGGGGAGAAAGAGAACCAAAAAAGGTGCTGGGGGAAAAAGACACACAGAAGGGCTGGGGAAAAGGAAAAAAGAAACACAAAGTGGTTCGGGAAGAAAGAGATACAGAAAGTCTGCAATTTTAGTTCTGGGGGAGCTGCAAGTAGCTGATCTTGCCTAGGGTGCAAAATAGCCTATCATTGGCCCTGCTAGTTCCCTTTCTATTCTCTCTTTTGTACCGCCTCCCCCTTTACATTGGCCCTTCTTCTGTCCTTGCTCTTCTCCCTTTGTCTCTCTATTATGTCTATATCTATTAGACACCCTTCCTGTATCTTTGTTTTTAACACTATCTTCAGCTCTTCTCCCACACCTAACTATGTTAGACTTTGTATCCACTTGACATAACTAATAATAGACACTAACTAAGCTACTGAGCTATATCTAAGATATCCAAAAACTACCAGGGCATCTAGTCAGGCGTGGAACTACCAGTGGTGCATCCATTGCAACTGCCAGGGGCCCTCAAGTTTAGGGGCCCATCAGGTAGCCCTCACATGGACATCTCTGCTGTGGAGCCAAGTTGGGTGCTTTGGGTCTTTATCAGTACACTGCATGACTGTGTCAGTTTCGCAGTGTTCACATGTCACTTACTCCTACAGGCAGCCACGCAGGGAGAAAGAAAGTACAAAGGTGAAAGCTAATGCAGAACCCTGACCTATTTCAAACTGGTCTCTGGTCAAGCTATAGAAATGGGAAGAGGGTACAAGTACATCCCATATATGTTCAATTAGACTGAGATCTGGAGAATTAGGAGGCCAAGGCAACACCTTGAACTCTGTGTCCTGTTCCTCAAACCATTCCTGAACAATTTCTGATGTGTGGCAGGGTGCACTATCCTGCTGAAAGAGTCTTCTGCCATCAGGGAACACCATTGAAGGGTTGTATGTAGTTTGTAACAATCTCTAGGTATGTGGTACATGTTGAAATAACATCCACATGAATGGCAAAATCAATACTTTCCCAGCAGAACATTGCCCAGAGTAGGGATATGCATGGGCAAAAAAATGGGCAAAAAATTTGATTCGGGACTTCAGCAATTCGGCACTTCGGTTCGGTACTTCCAAAATTTAGGACTTCGGCAATTCGGGACTTCATGAATTCGGGACTAAGGCAATATCCTTACCCTAACCCTTACCCCTAACCCTACCTCTACCCCTAACACTTACTTTACCCCTACCAAGGTTAGGGGTAGGCTTAAGGGTAGGGTTAGAGGAAGGTTGGGGTAAGGGGTAGGGTTAAGGTTCCGGTTAGTCGTAGGGTTAGAGGAAGGTTGGGGTAAGGGTTAGGGGTAGGGCTAGATTCTTGTCATCATTCCCTTAATTTTCCCTCCCTCTCCTGTTTTGCCACTTTTCAGAAATCCAAAGCACTTTGGCACTTCAGAAATTCGGTACTTTGGCAATTCGGTTCAGTTTGGCACTTCAGAAATTCGGCGGTTCGGTTTGGTACTTCGTAAATTCGGCAATTCACACATTCAGAGGCATCCGAATGTCTGAATTGCCGAAATTCTTCCGAATTTAAATTCGGACCAAAACTAATTGCACATGTCTAGCCCAGAACATAATACTGCCTCTGTCAGCCTGTCTTCATTCGTTGGTGTGTCCTGCTGCCATCTCTTCCTAGCTAATGCATCCAGCCATCCACCTGATCTAAAAGAAAATGTGATCCATTATACCAGGCAGCCTTCTTCCATTGCTCTATGGTTTAGTTAGTAACACTCACGTTCCCATTGAAAAAGCTTTGGACATGGGACTGAGATCATCATGGGCACTCTTACTGGTCTGCGGCTACGCAGCCCTACACGCAGCAAACTGTGATGCACTGTGTGTTGTGTTATGTCACCTTTCTATTATGGTGTTTTTCAGCCATTTGAGCTACAGTTCCAACACATGAAATTTAAGAACCGACTACTTACTTGCTGCCTAAGATATCTCACCCATTAATGGGTGCTATTGTATCAATATAATCAATGTTATTCAATTCTCCTGTCAATGGTTTTTATGTTGTTGCTCATTAATGTATATCTGTGTGTGTCTGTGGTAGTGTATATTTATGTAGGTGTGTGTGTGTCATGTGCAAATGCTAACAGTGTTCTAAATATCTTTCTTTTTTTCAAGGCTCCTAGTCTGACCAAGATAATTAAAAAATATGTCTCTATGTATCTATAACCAAGTAGGGTTGAAATGAATAATGGTTAGACCTGCAATGTCCCTGTATTGTCATGCAAAAGAACGAGAAGTTTCTCCTACAACTACTTGTGTAATTTCCATTAATAGAGCAGACATACCAATAGCTAAAAATAACTTTTTAGCTCTTCATAAAGCAGCTGATCCTTCCAGACACTCAGAGCAAGCACAGACTGGACAAAGAGCACTTGCACCAATAAACTGCTGTAGAAGCCAGAAAAACATAATGTCTGAACGTAGGGTGCCTTTCACTTTCCTCCGCACTCCAAGCTGGGATCCGTTCCGAGACTGGTACCAAGGTGGCAATCGTCTTTTTGACCAGTCATTTGGGATGCCTCATATTCCTGAGGACTGGTACCACTGGCCAAGCACCAGCTGGCCAGGTTATGTTCGCCTTTTCCCAACCCAGTCTATGGAAGTGGCACCCCCTACTACACCAGCTGTTACCTCACCTGCTGTGTCAAGTGCTCCAGACTTTAACCGGGCCCTGAGCCGCCAACTCAGTAGTGGAATCTCAGAGATCCGCCAAACATCAGATCACTGGAAGGTCAGTTTGGATGTTAACCATTTTGCTCCAGAGGAGCTGGTTGTGAAAACCAAAGATGGAATTGTGGAAATTACAGGTAAGACATGTTCAACCATTAATAACAATATATTGACAAGTGAGAATTGCTGGGAATTCAAAGTGTATTTTCAAGGTACAAGACATACTTACTTGACATCTAGTATATGGCTAAACTTTTTTTAGCAATGTTGGTGTTTTTTTTGTGTTTTTCTTTGATTTTTATTATATAATTCTTATTATGTGTATATGAATTGTCATTTTGTATATGTTGGGAAGAAATGCAATTATAGCTGCAAAAAAGAAAAGTAATCTTTTGAAACAAACAAAATAAAAAATAAAAAACACTGCATTATTTATGTCTGTCAGTTGCATTGTCTCTTTCCAATATAGTCCGATCTTCAGTATACTATTTAGCCTCATTTTTATGGGGTAACACCAAGCATAAAAATAGCATGTGCAGCAACACTTTTTTTTTAAATGTTTTATTTTGCACTTTTCATTTATATATATATATATATATTTTTTTTTTTTAATGTATTTATTTTTATTGTTCATCCAAAACATTACATGGCAGTATGCATGCATCAGTTGTTTACATTTTCCAGAAATGTTCAATATTGTTTGCAATTATGAGATACATACATTATTATACGTGGAGGCTCTATGAATATTACAGAAAAAACAGTGTTTGACATAACATATCTCTGCGTGTAAGTAGGAATGTGTAGATATTTACAAGACCAAAATAAGGTGTAGTCTAGTAATCTTTCGTACCTCAGTTTCACTGTACTAGCTCATCAAATAGGGGGCAACCACAGTTTTTAATGATTCAATAAAATGGATTATCTTATTCTTCTTCAATATAATGCTTATTTCTCTCAGAAAGTTGACATTCTCTAATTCATCTTGCCTTACGTTTGCTTCTGTCTTCCCCTTTCAAGACAGTTCTAAACATGGAAGAGCTGCCAAGAGGGGCAAAGATCCCCTGGACCACTAGCATAAAGGGGCTGCGGTCTGCAGCTTTGCACTATTCTTCAGCAGATTAAAATACAAGGAGGTGAGCTGGGATCTTTTGGCAGGGGGCTGCAAGGAGTGTAGCAGCAGGCAGAATGTGTGCAGACATTTGCTAGCCAGGTACTATGAGGGTTTGTTCATCAACTGGTGGCCCCAACCTCACAAAAACCCTACAAACAAATAGCTAAATGTAACACATTTATCCCACCCCACACCACACCCTCTCCTAATGTTACATGAAATGTTTTATATATAATAAAATAAAACAGTCACAAAATGTATTTTAGAAACCCTATTAGAAATCCTTTCTAATAGTTGCATAATCCCATAATAGTAGCCCTAATCCAAGCCACCCGCTGTCCTTTATGCTTTCATCAATCGCGTCTTGGGCTATTCTAGCCCTGTATCTTAACAAGCCTAACTAGATCTTAACCGATCCTTTGTAGTTCATCTGTAACACTGATTCAGTTTTCTACTGCTGTTTGATTAGCTTCACAATTTTGTCATAACTGTGCTTTCACAGTAAGTAAAATCAAACTGTAAATGTGTGTGTGGTTTTTTTTAAATTTGATTATTTATTTAATTTTCATTAAAGGAAAATTATACCAATCTCAGCTGGCCACATCTACCTAAACAGCATTTTGCACAGCAGAAAAAAAACCACTAAGAAATGATCTGTCCATATTTTCAAGGGCAACATGCTGACATTTAGCAAAGCTGGGACAATACAATGTGTGTTTCTTGTGCCTCTCTATAGATAGCAAAATCTATTCATAGCAACAGCTGTTTCTATTTCTTATCTAGGCCTCATTATGTCTGTCTGAGACCATGCCAGGGTAAGGCAATTTTTGTGACACACTTAAGTTCTGCTCTGTGTGCCACAGATGTATAATCCCTATCACAGAGTCATTAGGATGGGCTGTTTTATAACCCATATGGTTTCAAATGTATGTAAACATTATTTTGGTGTATTTAAATGTGCAGAGGTATACAGAGAATACTACAATATTGATTCATTAGTCAACGTGTTACAATGTGACAGTCACCGTGTGTCACACATGCCTAGGTTTCTTTTCCAAACTAAACTTCAGTCAAAGTTTCATTGGATATCTGTCTGTACTAAAATATTATTGCTGTGGACTTAAATTAATATTCAAGGACAAATATTTCACTCAGTGTACAATTACATGCATATATGATCTTTGCTATCAGAGTTATTCATATCCTTAAAAATTAGGCTTAATAAATATGGGTTAACATTAAATAAACACTATAGAGTCAGGAACACAAATATGTATTCCTGAACCTAGAGTGTTAAAATTACCATTTAGGTTACTTTCCCCCCCCCAACCCCCTTAAAAGTTAATAAAACATATCTTATTTCCAGTGCTGCGCGGGTCCGCCGGCACTGGCCTCACCCCTGATTTGCCTCCTTGCTGACATTATCAGAATTTGGCTGAAATCGGCAAGGAGGCGGGGCAGAGCGAGGCCATAGCCGGCTTGGCCAATCAGCACCTACTTATAGAGATGCATTGAATCAATCTCTGAGAATAAAATCAGCGTCTCCATGCAAAGCATGGAGGCGCTGAACGTCAGTGCTGAACACTGTGCAGGAGGGTCAATGTAAACACTACCCTTTCTCTGAAAAGGATTTGTTTACTGCAAAAAAGCCTGCAGGGAATAATTCTACTTCCCAGAACAAATACATTAAGCTGTAGTTGTTCTGGTGACTATAGTGTCCCTTTAACATCTTCCCTCACAGCCTTGTGCGTACAAAGGCTAACTTTTCAATGGATTCCCAGTTCACATGGCAGATAAATAAATATCTTTGTCTAAGTTCCACTCTGAAGCTTTTTGCTTTCCTTTAAATGAGATAGAATTACCTAATGACATCCCACACTGCAGTAGAGATGCCTGTTGCCTTATTTTAAGTGTCTCTCTCGTTTCCTTTTTTCTTTGTTTTCCTTTCCTTATATCACTTGTATCATATATATATATATATATATATATATATATATATCTTAATTTACATAACTATACTCCCTTCTTTGCCACTTGCTTTATTTATATTTATTTTCTTCCTTGCACCAGATCTTAATTTATAGGAGCCTCCATTTTGTTCTTCTCAGTCCATGATGTCTGTAGTTTACCATTCTGTAGGATTCACGGTGCTGTAAGCTTATTTGAGTAAATCCATCCTCAGCTCATGCTTCTGTTCTATTACCCTTTATTTTTACCCATCATGTATTTCTTTGCTTTTTATTCCCAGACTGTAGATTTTGCAGACCACATGTTGTTTTCCTTGTTGTATAGCTCAGTGGAGCAAGAGGTAGCAATTGCCCAGATCACCTGTTTTGCAAAGACTTCTCATTGAGCTGCATTGGAAGTCTGTAATTGGACAGCCACAGAAAATCTGGGCGGTGATAGAAGGGGAGGTCTTTCAAAGGCTGCAGACAAGAGATCTGCAGGTTTTGCAAGCTGTTTTTAAATACATCTCCAAAGAAAAAATAATTAAATTAATGCATGTTTTCATTGGGAGTATAAAACAGTGATTATAAAAAAAATTAGGGGCAGTGGAATGTCAATACCCTTCATATAGCTTGGCACCCAAGAGTTGGCATATTTGAAAGATCTGGTACCTATCAAATGCTACTAAAACGCAAACACCTGAGAACATTAGATATATCTTCTGTATTTGTATAGCTATAAGAACAAACTATTACAAAATACAAACATGTATTCTTTGTAACTATCTCAGCACATTAAATATTAATTGTGTTTTTCTCTTTGGCTTGAAAAGCACATTGCAGGAAATGATGCTTATTTTGAGCTAATGGAATTTAATCACTAAATACAGAATTGCAGCAAACTCAAAAGCAAACTGAATTATCTATTTCTTCCAAGTTTTGCAATTTAATTTTTATTGACAATAATTAAGAACTTTGTGAATAAACCCCAAAGTCAATTATGTTGGGTGGAAAACACAAGTTCTCTTGTAAAATTTGATAAAATTCATGAAGTGATCTCTTTATCCACTGATCGTCAGAAATGAAATGCAAACGAATTTCCAAAATTTTTTGTTAACTTTTTAGTAAGGTTTATTTCTCGTTAGATTAAATCACATCACCATTAGCCAGTTAAACATAGCCTGAATATAGTTATAGGTCTTGTATAATGAATAAAAAAAAAATTACTGAAGTTAATCATTTTATCCGTAATACACTTGGAGTTATTCACTACTACATACACAACTCCCCTGGCTGTAACTCAAACAGCCTTCATGGAAAAAAAAAAATTTAGATTTTCAATAAGATCTTAAAGCATAGTATTTAGAAGTTTTTGTCTCCTGTTCTGTAAATTGAACTTTAATCACACACAAGAGACCCCTACAGGCTTTAGCGGGCTATAAACAGAGCAACACATAGGCAATTCTAAATTAAACAGACAAAGTGACTTAACTTCTAAAATGGCAGAGAATTGAGCAGCGAGATGGGAGGACAAGATCTATACACAAGAAAACGCTTCTTTAACCTCTTAAAATGGAAGCAACTGTACATGGTCTCATCAAAACAAACCACAATTTACCTCTTTCATATTAAGTGCAACCACACTTTTTATATATTGTTTTGTTCAGGAGAAATAGGGCTTTCAATTCACCTCAAACGTGTGTGTGTGTGTGTGTTTGTGTGTGTGTATATATATATATATATATATATATATATATATATATATATATATATCATACTTTAATATGAATAAAATCTAAAAAAAAGTCAGAAATTAAGAGGTTTTGTTATTTTCTTAGTTCTGCATGACATTTTAACTGTGAATATTATAATTTTGCTAGCTTTTACTGCAATAAAATACACATATTTGTGTTCAGCGATGTCTCACTAGAACAACAGAGCCCCCCATATACAGGTTTTATGGAGTTTTGAAGACTTACAGGGTCAAATATAAAGCTTTCCTCTTTTCAGTTTATAAACATTGAAATTTGCAAGTTAAGTTTGCTGGGTCTATGTTGCCTTTGAGACCGTATGGCAGCCCAGGAATGAAAAGTAATCCCATCATGGCATACAATTTGCAAAAACAGACAACCCAGGGTATTCAAAATGAGGTATATCCAGTCTTTTTAGCAGCCACTTAGTCACAAATGCTGGCTGAAGTTAGCATTCATATTTATTTTTTGCATATATCACAAAAAAAATGCCCCTTCACCAATTATATCATAAGCATTATATGTTTTACTGCTATAAAACATTCATATTTGTGTTCAGCGATGCCTCACAAGTACAACAGTACCCCCCATGTACATATTCTATGGTGTTTTAGAAAGTTACCGGGTCAAATATAAGGTTATAACATTTCAGGTTTTACACATTTAAATTTGCCTGAAGTGCTGGATTAGCTGGTTTGTCAGGCAGTCTCCCTGATCCTGACCGCAGCAGCAAGATAAACATATCTCGGCGGGGGGAGACGGCAAACCACAGGGTGAACCTTGCCATCCTGCTGCATTACAGCCCATATTTTGAAGGGTGGCATGGTACATCTGCTGGCGTTACGCTAACGTTGTCTTGCTGTCTAGACTGTACCTTTACATTTGAAATTAGCTTTGATTTCCCAGCAATTCATACTTTAGTAAATAACTGTGTATGTAATATTGCTTTTACAAGAAGTAAATATATGTATATTCTTTTCTATAGTTTATGAGGCAATTCCCTATATACAAGTCATCTTTTTTACATATACAAAAAAAAATATTAGTTAAAAAATATATACTTATTTTACCCTCCTGCAGGAAAACATGAAGAGAAACAAGATGAACACGGATTCATCTCCAGATGTTTCACCAGAAAATACACGTGAGTAATAGCCTGCCATGCAGCCATGTCTGATTTACTAATTTTGTTGTTGTTATACTAATGCAATTTGTCAAACACGTAGAAAGCTGTCACTGCACTATACCTATAGCATACACTTTAGCAAAAAGTTGACAGATGTTAAAGTGATAATGAATAAAATGGCTTGAGTGCACTCTAAAGTGCTCAAGAACATACATGTTGGGAACCAAAAATTATATTAAAATCTCCATAATTAAAATGACAAATAATGTACTTTGATGCCGACCTGGTAGGCTTTGTTATTGCCATGTAAAATGAAAATCAACAAATATAAATAAACAAATAGGCACATCCCTTGCCCCCCAGTCAATTGTGGCATCATACTTTACTACAAAATAAAAATTTTCATCTGGTGGCTTGGTCAGATCATCTGTTTTAGTACAAATGGACTATACCTGGAGTCAGCCCTCGTCCCCAATGTCAATATAAAGGAGCCGCCAAAATTTACTATGAAGGTGTAACATATCGTACCATGTAGGGCCGCCATGAGGTCATGACAATCATGATGGTTGTCATGGGCCTGGCGGTCCTGGGGGCACAAACTGCTCTAGGAGTCCAGGGTCCCACATTTCCGATGTGCACATATATATCGTTTATCTCTATATATGTGTATCTGCGGGCCCCCGACTACCTGTATACTGGAGAGGGACCAGCACACTCCATTTTAACTTCCCAGCTGCTCTTTTCTCTCTAAGTTTAGTGAGCTCCGCTGCGGTCAGATTGTTGCCACAGGTTACCATGGCAATGCTTCATGCGGCTTGCGAGAGTTAGAGAGACGAAAGCAGCTGGGAAATGAAAATAGAGTGTGCTGGTCCCCCTCTTCAGTATACAGGTAGCTGGAGGCTCACACCATGCCACCGGACCACTAGGGAATGTAATCTCCCCCTCGCTGGCCACAAGTAAGAAGCGGGGGGGGGAGGGGGGGACTAAATTTATTAATAATGAAAAAAAAAACAAATACATATGTTTTCCCCCTCCCCAACCGGCTATTAGTTAGCCCCACAACAACATTTTACACAAGATTTAAACACACTACATCCTTACACAAACACACACTCTGCATTCACTATACACACACTAAATCCACTACACAAACACACAATCTGCATTCACTATACACACACTACATCCTTACACACACACACTCTGCACTCACTATACACACTGCATCTAATACACATAAGCACTACATCCACTACACAAACACACACTCTGCACTCACTATACACACACCACATCCACAACACAAACACACACTCTGCACTCACTATACACACACCACATCCACAACACAAACACACACTCTGCATCTAATACATCCAAACACTACATACATTTACACATATTCACTATTCACAAACTACATTCAGTATACACACACTTCATCCTTGTGGAAGGACTCAAGATGGACCCTGAGGGCGGACTCAGGGGCAGACCCCAGAGGCCCAGAACTTGAGCTGAGTCAGGAGCACAAACATTTCTAATGGAAGCCTAGGTACCATTTACAGATAGATGGTATTATATTATTGTAAAAGCAGAATAAGTTGATGCTATATAAATGCCAATAATAATTAAATAGAGAGGACTACTAGCATATATTTAAATGTATAGCTAAATCACTGTATTTGCTCTCATGGTTATTCACAAACGTGTGAAATGTCAGGAATTAAAAATGAATTTCAAAATTTAGGCTAAAAGAATTTAACTGAAACATACCTGGCTTGGAAATGTTGTTATAATTTGACTAATGTGGCCAATAATTTGAAATTCAATTTGAATTCTTCACAAGTCACACTTAAGCACATAACCCATGTGTATGTAGCATACCATCCACAACAATTCACATTCTGGTGGGAGTTTGGGAATGGTTTTCCAGACACAATATCAGAATCAATTCCGTGAATATGGTATGTGAATGATATTTTCTTATGGGAATCACAAAAATTCATATAGCTTCCCCAGAAGCCAACAGGGTGCAAAGCTATATTTCATATATTATTGATGTCAGCAGCACACGTTTTAGCACTTATACCCAGATATGAAAAAGTATTCATAACCACATAGGTTTAAATTCATTACTTGGAATACACAGTGGAAATTGCAAATTTTAGTTCATAAACTGGAAAAGTCTATTATATATAAATATATATATTCAACTATTCAGATTTTTGTGAACATACAGCATATGTTATCATAATAACAAAGTATTTAACCAGGAAAGGTACATTCAGATTACTCTGGTTTTCAAGTGTGTCCTGGGGATATTACCTTAGCCCAACATCCAGGAGTTGTTACTATTACCCAATTTAATGGTACTCATTTTATCTACCTCAAAAGGATGAAGTGCTGAGCCAACGGTTGAACAGATTCTACTGATGATGCATTAGCCCACTGAGCTATCTCACCAGCCTTTTGCTACATAAGGAATAAAAACAATAGCATTATTAGAATGGCTGGCATGTAGAAATTATTCATATATTACATAGCTACATAGCTGAAAAGAGACTTGCGTCCATCAAGTTCAGCCTTCCTCACATTTGTTTTTTGCTTTTATATTCATATAAAAAACAGTTTTTTTAAAATAATATATGCAGTGTTAGTTTTGGTCATTTTAAAACTAATTTTAAACTCTATTTTTCAGTCTTCCCGCAGTAGCTGATTTTACTGCAGTTGCGTCGTCTCTTTCCCCAGATGGTGTTTTAACTGTAGAGGCTCCAATAAAGAAACCGGCTATTCAGTCTGCCGAGATAACCATTCCAGTAACTTTCCAGAGCCGGGCTGAGATTGGTACATCTGATGCCAAAAAATCAGAGGAAGCAGCCAAGAAATGAAGGCACCACCACAGACTACTAACACCAAATATATTTAAACAGATATTACAGTTTTAACAAATAATGTATAACTAGAAGAGAACTTTAGCTGTAAAGCTCAACTGCCAAATCACCTTGGTGTATTGTTGACTTATTACTGTTTTAGAATGGACAATAAATACAAGTTCACAACTAAATTAACACATATGCTAACAATAGTGTCAAAGTAGAAGTCTTATGTTTAGTAATTAATCCATGGATGGTTATGATTTCCTGTATGCTGTAGAATTATTTTTACCTGGAGTGAGCCAAGCTGCCAATTTAGTTTTTTTGTAGAATATCGGAGAACATCTAGCATATTTCCATCGTATGGTATATGTTGGTACCTTGGTTTCTATGAATTAAAATTTGTTTAATATGGATGTATATATATATATATATATATATATCTGAACAACGTGACTAGCACAGATCTGTATATCTAAATGTATTTGTATGATCCCATAAAATCAACTGATTAGTACAACTAAAGTTTTGTGAAAAATAAATGGTTTGACTTAATCACCCATATATACTCCTTCTTGTCATTATTCCTCTTGATATATACTCTTGGAATCAACAAATTTGATAACGGCAAGCTTCCATAACGTTTCACAAAGCACCTCAAACCACATAAAAGATAACTACAATATATTTTTTGTGGTGAGTGATAATTATTATAAACAAATAACTGAAACAAGGATGAAACTTATGCTTGGCATTAGTTACTAATTTTGGGTACATAATTGATTAGTAACTCTAGCTGTACTGCATGACATGGGATCCAAGAACTCAGGAAATTAGACAAAACAAAGAGTAAGGAGAGAAAATCACAGCCAATAACGTAAATGGAGCAGATATAAAAAAGGGAAAGTCAGTGAAAGGACTGAAGCAAAGGAGAGGAGATTATGATAAAAGCAAATATATCTGGGGCTGGAAACATGGCCACTGGAAAGGTAGAAGGTGGCTGGAAACATGGCTAATTGCTGTCCCAAGAATGAAGAGGACTGGAGTATGGCTATCTGAGGTGGATTGGAGAAGGATCTGGAATATGTCTGAATGTGGTAGGAATGAACCTACAGATATGATTGGAGGGGGAAATCTAGAGGACAGACACACTCTACACACACACTGACGCACACATACACAAACATACATACACATAGACATGGACTTAGACATTCCAGACACTGCTACTCATGCACACGCAATATACACTATTCAATCTATATGTGTGTTTATATAAAACAATTTTGTCATATTTAAATGTCAAGTTTTGCAATCATTAGTTTATATTAGATTATAGTTTTTAGAGGTGAGCTGGGGTCACTTGTGAATTCTGTGCTGGCAGGTGCTCGTGATGTAAATCTGGCCCAGCTAAGTGCTAAATAATAGCCTTCATTTTATGACAATATGTGGGATTTTATTCACTAAACAATGGACTGTAGTAACTTTACAAAACTTGAAACTTGGCTACTGTGAGCTATATTTTTCAACTCTCTGGGACGCTATTGACCCAGACCACTTCATCTCATCGGTTCAATACTTTTCTATGGGTAAGATTTAACATGCCCAGTGCGAGCACTGCGCATGTATATCAAGTCCAATCATCACTGTAACGTTGTAAGAGGAGGATATCTATCCAACGCAAAGTGAGCCTCGGCACTGGAATTAAGCTAAGTAAGAAAGGGTTTTTAACCCTTTACTCGGCCAACAGGAGACCTAATAAGTTAGGGACCCGGACACTATAGCATTAGAAACACAAGTTTGTATTCCTTCCGCTATAGTGTTCCTTTAATAAAAATACTGCTGGGTTTTAGAGCGCAATTAGTTTAAGATGGTTAACTTGAGTTTCACTGCTCAGGAAATGCACTTATTTCCAAGAGGCTTAGAGATTGAGTGGTTAATTCACTAATGTGGCATAGGATAGAATACCTGCTGTTGCTAGTTCACAGAGTAGTTCCACTCATCCTATGTGATGAGTGGTACTGGTCCTGGCGTATAAACTATGTACCTGTGCACATACCTGTTGGATAGATGTTTATGCGATTAAAGTAGACCATACAGACCAAAATGATAGTCTGGAGTCAGCCTGTGCAATTTTTAGTAGTATTTGAGACTTATAATGTATATTTTTTTTTTATATCTATAAAATACATTAAAAATAGGTGGTATATTTAATATTACATACCCCTTTCAAGGGATCCATGAGTTATGTTAAGTATGTTTTGCAAGTTGCGCCATGTTGGTCCTGAGAAAAGTTTAGAAAATATGCAACCACTAATTCCTATTTTAAAATTTCTTCTAATTTTTTCAGTCCATTTTTATTAATATATTTTAAAATAAATACTGGCAACATTCATATTACTAATAACTACAAGGTTAATCACAAACGTTGGGACTGCATTTATACTGCAAAATCTGGACACTGTTCATCAAATTTAATAATGTCTGGATTTTTTAATTCAGGCCCCAAATGGACCTGAATTTGGTCCCTGAATGCCGCTGCATGGCTGATATCCTAACCAAATGCTGAAAAACCAGGCCAGGAATAAATTTGATCTGGGTCTGTATTTAAAAAAACAAAAACAAAAAAGCAGAACTGTCCCGAATCCCCCAGCCATCTAAGGCCTCCAATCACCTAGGTAGCATTTTTCTTTAATTAATGTTATTGCTAACACTCTTTAACTAGGGACAGGGACACTAAAGAGTTAGGAATAAAGATTTATATTCCTGTTGTTTTGTTGCTTAGATGTCCCTTGACGGATGCCATCATCATTGGTGTCTGTGGCAGGAATTAACTTTGAAACTGCTCTCTCTCTCTCCAAATTGCCTGCTCTGATGAATCACATTTTCTTTTAGATCAGGAGGATGGCTGGGTGTGTGTTCTTTTGGGAAGAGATGGCAGTAGGATGTAATATGGGAAGAAGGCAGGCAGGTGGAGGAAGTGTCATGCATTGGGCAATGTTTTACTGGGAAACCTTTGGTCCTGTTTGACATGCACCACCTACCAAGAGATTGTTACAGACCACATACGCCCCTACATGGCAATGGTGTTCCAGAATGGCAGTGGCCTTTTTCAACAGGATAATGCACCCTCAAAAATGTGCCACATTGCAAAAAATGTTCAGAAATGGTTTGAGGAACATGACAAAGAACTGACTATGTTGCCTTGATCTTCAAATTCCCCAGATCTACATCCAATTGAGCATCTGTGGGCAGGGCCTGACTGGGGATACAAAGCAGCCCTGGAAAAAAAAAACACAAGCTCACTGATGCACTCAAATAGGGTCACTGACAGACAATCTCAATGACACACATAGACAAACTTACTGGTACAAAAACACAAATTTAGTACAGATAAACTCTGATACACACACAAGCAGACTACAGACAAGCTTACTGATGTGCACACACTCTACCTACAGACAAGTCCATTGACACACATATGCTCCCTACAGAAGAGCTCACTAACACACAGATTCACTACAGACAAGCTCACTGATGCACACATGCTCAATACAGACAAGCTACACACTGCACACACATGCTCACCACAGAAAAGGTCAGACACACTCATGCTCCCTGTGGCGAACAGAACCTCGCCACAGGCTTTTGGAGGAGCCTGATTGCCAGTCTCCTGCCCCAGGACTATGGCCCCCTGCAATAGACCTGACTAAAATACTTTAAAAAGGCTCTGTTCATGCAATTGGGATTATATGGTTTGGTTCCCAAACAGCCGCACGAACCAGAGACCACCCGGGAGCTTGTTAAACCCTATTAAAAATTTGTAACAATTGTAACCACAGTGTTCTAATTGTCAGTTTGGGTGGCCTCTGTTCGCATGAACGACCACGAGATGGCGGCCATCTTGTTCGCATGAACGCAGGCAGCGGTGTTTGGTCATCGAGTTCCTGGAACTAAAATCGGACACAGAAACTCCTGAACACCACTGGGCTTCCATCATCGCCTGCATTCTGTTCAATACAATTTAGAAGGGCACTGTTCGGTGGAATAGTTCCTCTGGATGAGGGGAAAAAGCTCCATGGTAAGAACATTGACTATGTTCGGTAGTTTGTTTGATTTTTAAACTACCGAACTACACCAACCGCAAGCCCTGATTCTCTGGAACTGTTTTGGGCATGGGACCATGCGTGCGGTTGGTAAAATTATGACTTCTTGGAAATTTCTGTACCCCTGAACTGATCTGGGTGATTTTTGGATATGTTGGTCTCCCAGATCGGGGCTATTAGGGGATGTAACTTTTTGTGGCGGTTTTGTGTGTTTAAAGGTATTTGGGGGGTTTGTTTTGTTTTCTGTGCCTGGAGATAATTGAGTTTAATAAAGTGGCTGACTCAATTATCTCCCAGGCACAGAGGAGGGATTATTTTGTTTTATGTGGGAGTGTCCTGGACCTGAGAGCCAATGTAATTGCATATATGTTTTTACTGTAGTCTACTCTCAGGTCCAGTCGGGAGTGCCCCTTGCATGGGGACCTGCATATAAGGCCAGTTGTGGCTACCAATAAATGAATCCCTGCTTACCCTCAACATATAATCTCATCTCATGTGTGGGGAACAAAGGCTGTATCACTCTGGGGATTGCTATATCACTATACTCCCCATATAATCACTTGCTCTTTTAAGAGCATATTGCTACACTCTCTTGGAGGAGAAGTCTACCCACTGGAAGTCTTGGGTCCAGGGTGGGGGGAGGACAGTGAGACCCCAATCAAGCTGTAACGCTGGAAGTGGGGACTACAGTGCTGATAGTGTCTGGTGCGGTGCTTGTAGAAACATAGAAACATAGAATGTGACGGCAGATAAGAACCATTCGGCCCATCTAGTCTGCCCAATTTTCTAAATACTTTCTTTAGTCCCTAGCCTTATCTTATAGTTAGGATAGCCTTATGCCTATCCCACGCATGCTTAAACTCCTTTACTGTGTTAACCTCTACCACTTCAGCTGGAAGGCTATTCCATGCATCCACTACCCTCTCAGTAAAGTAATACTTCCTGATATTATTTTTAAACCTTTGTCCCTCTAATTTAAGACTATGTCCTCTTGTTGTGGTAGTTTTTCTTCTTTTAAATGTAGTCTCCTCCTTTACTTTGTTGATTCCCTTTATATATTTAAATGTTTCTATCATATCCCCCCTGTCTCGTCTTTCCTCCAAACTATACATGTTAAGATCCTTTAACCTTTCCTGGTAAGTTTTATCCCGCAATCCATGAACCAGTTTAGTAGCCCTTCTCTGAACCCTCTCTAAGGTATCAATATCCTTCTGAAGATACAGTCTCCAGTATTGTGTACAATACTCCAAGTGAGATCTCACCAGTGTTCTGTACAATGGCATGAGCACTTCCCTCTTTCTACTGCTAATACCTCTCCCTATACAACCAAGCATTCTGCTAGCATTTCCTGCTGCTCTATTACATTGTCTGCCTACCTTTAAGTCATCAGAAATAATCACCCCTAAATCCCTTTCCTCATATGTTAAGGTTAGGACTCTATCAAATATTCTGTACTCTGCCCTTGGGTT